AGCAGGTTTCTCGCCTTTGTTTACCTTCTGTATTTGAAACAATGCTAGGATCCTGCTGGCTGAAGCCTGGCAACTAAAGCAGGTTTCTGAGGTTTTGTTTAGCTTCTATATTTGTAACATAGTTGCTTAGAGTTGCAGCTCACAGGCCGGCAGCGGCAGGCGGGGAACGTTGGAGTCCTCCATCACTGAAGCAAGCAAGCCTAATGTTTGCTTCCAGCTGCCTGGCTGCTGGCCGCCATCTTGGCTGGCAGTTAATTTGCATATCACCCTGATTAGCCAATGGGAAGGGCAAGGATAAGATGATTTAGAGTGGCAAAAGAAAGCCCTGGATGGTGTGGCTCAGTTGGTTGGGGCATCATTCTGTACACCAAAAGGTGGCAGGTTTGATTCCAGGTCAGGGCACATGCCCAGGTTGTGGGTTCAATCCCTAGTCAGGGCCCATGCGGGAGGCAACCAACTAATGTTTCTCTCTCTCTTTTCCCCTTCCTCTCTCTATAAGTAAAAAATTAGAGTGGCAAAAGAAGAATAAAAGTTCACTTAGTAACGGACTTCAAATGTAGAAATACTGATAGAAATCTGTTCTCCATCTTCATTTATAAGAGATCAACTGAAAGATTAAATTTTCTCATCTTTCAAAAGGAGTTAGACTACATGATTGTTAAGTTCATCATGAGCTCTAAAATTCTGTGATGTCCTGGTTTTTTGGTCTCCCTCCCCCTTTTTTTTGATGTCCTGGTTTTTGATAGATACATTACTTGAGAAAAACTATTCTCAACTATTTCTTTCCTTGTTTAAACATTTATAGCAATTAGGTGTAAATATTTCCTTATTGTGGAAACATCAGAGAATCAAATTAGAATTTATAAAATGTCCATATTCCTTTTACTTTATCCTTCCTGCTCCCCATTCCACTGATATTATCCTATATAATAAAGCCTAATATGCTAAGTGTCCAACCATTCAACCAGTCGCTATGACATGCACTGACCACCTGAGGGCAGATGCTCCAACTGGTAGGTTAGCTTGCTGCTGGGGTCCGGCCAATTGGGACTGGGCGAGACAGGCCGGACACACCCTGGAGCCCTCCTGTGGTCCCTCCCCAGCCCTAATCGTGCACTGGTGGGGTCCCTCGGCCTGGCCTGTGCCCTCTTGCAATCCAGGACCCTCGGGGGATGTAGGAGAGGCCGTTTTGGCCCGATCCCTGCAGGTCAGGCCGAGGGACCCTACCAGTGCACAAACCTGTGCACCGGGCCTCTAGTATTGGAATAGTTGAGTTGCAGTCTAGCTTGGAGATAGGAGAATGAACAAGATGAATTCTTAAATTACTTTAGCCTGATGATGCTATGATTGAACTATTTCTCATATACCAAAGATAGAAGGTTATAGTGTAATCCATCCCTTGCACCTAAGCCCTTTACTGGCCCCCTTCTCAAATGCTAAAGTGGGTAATTCTATCTCTATATTAATTTAATGCTGACCTATTAAGTAACTGACAAAGACTGAAGGCAATCTAAAAAAAACAAAACAAAAAACCAGTTTGACATGCACAGTTTAAGTATTAACTCTAAATTTTAGAACCAAAATTTGTTGGCAAAAGTACCATATCTAAAACAGAAAGAAACATTTTGTAACATGAAAGAGGTGAAAAAAAATAGAGAAGGTTATAGAACAAAATGTTTTTCAATCATGTCTGTACTCTCATACTCTTCCACATATGGAAACTAAGGCATTGCCTTGTGGAAAAACTAACGCAAAACTGTAAAAGGAGAATGTGATAAAGTAAGCTTAAGAATTCTATAGAACAAGGACAAAATATAGAAACAAAACTTCTTAAATAGCATTTAGATTCTCTTTAAAAGCCTATTAAGTATATACCAATAGATATTCTTCTAAATTATTAGAGAAGCACCACTAAAACTGCATACATACATATTTTTATATGGAATATTAAGTTAGAACCCAAATTTTTCTTTATTTTTCTCAGAGTACAGAATTGCTATAAAATGACTAACATTGCCCAAAACAAGGCCTATTAAATTCTCCCATGAATTGCTGTGACATTCCCAAAAATTGTTAAAACATACAGCAGTGTCTTTTACAAAGCAAAGCTATCTCTCTACCGCTTCATAAAAGATTTAAGCTAAAGAAAAAAAGATAGAAAACCCAACAGCTGAAGACAACATTGGGCTATTTATAAGTCTTCTCCCAATCCCCCAGACACACTCCCATGGAGGCTGTAAACAGCTAACTAAAATATCTTTGAGGCCTTCACATCCACACCCACTGACACAAGTAGAGTTGTACCCACAGTGAAACTAGACTTCAGCTTCTTTAGCAAGTATATGCCTGCAACAGTAAACTGGAGTAAATGTAACAGTAATAAAACAATTTTTAAAAATTAAAATTATACCTTTTTCTCCAACAAATGGTAAAGACCACGTGAAGACATCCATAAAATTGGGCAACCAGTAAGGATGTGGAGAACAGTTAAACTGTCGAATATTCATCACATTATTTTCATACTTTAATACAGCAGCTGCAAGATAAGTATAAATGTCAATGTAACAATTTGTGTTTAGCTCCAAAAGTCTAAAACACATAAAAGCAGAAAAATATCTTTTTAATAGGGTGAGGAATCAAGGGATGAGTAGAATGAGGGCTAGTAGAGGGAGGTAGGCACTAATTTTTAATAACACATTTTCTGTTTTTTAACACTTTTATTTAGGGCATAGTCAAATTTTGTTATTATTAATAAATATTCTATTCTTTTTTAAATGTTTGTTTTACTTTATAATCCAATGATAAATATACACTTTTATTAAATCCAAAATTGTGAAAACTCAATTTGCAGAGGAAACACAGAATGGCAATGAACAATTTTCTAGGTTTAAAAGTTCATTTAAGTTATAGGAATTTAAGAGGGTCTTTTTATTTGTAGGCAACCTAAAAAGGATAGCTGAATGGTAATAAAGAAAAACAAAACAGAAAACAAAAAAATGTAATGTGAAACATTCTATTTATAAATGTAAATATATTTATTTAATATGGAAAATCAAGTGAAACTTCTACAAAGAAATATTTTACTTCATTTAGAAAAACCCACCCTTACAGTACCAGAAGAGGGAATATTATAGCCAAATAACTCAAAGATAACATATTCATCTCAATTTTAGGTATCTTTCTGTTTCAATATATTAATATAAATAATATCTTAAACTAATTGATGTATGTTAGATGGGCTAGGTTCTAATCTAAGCTACAGTACATACTAGCTTCACCATGCTTGGTAAATTATTTAATTAATCTATTTCTCATTTATATAAAGGACTAGTATGTCCAACCTGCCTACCTCAGAGGTTTGTTTTAAGATCAGAGAATAATGTATTTTGCATGAAAATACATAAAAGTATAAAATACTTTGCAGGTATTATAATTATGTGGAGACTTTTTTTTCATTTGAATAAAAAGCACTGAAATGCAGATGTTAAATTCCAAGATTTGAGATTCTGGCTAATATAGAATCACAACTAACATGTCTGTTTCTTTTATGAAATTCCCATGAAATAAAAGTATTTTAAATTTAGCCTCAGAAATTAAAAGCTGATACCAACCTTTCAGCTTTAAAAAAAAGGAGAATCTAGAAAATTGTCTTACATGGAGAATGAAACATTACAAACATACGCATACCACATAAGCACTCAAATCATTAACACTATGTACAGACTCAGAACTACCAAGAGACATTTGATTTTGACAAGACAGATTCAATGGTTTGCGTTTCTTTTCTGAGTACTAAGAAAAGTGATCCCTTAACCTCCTGAGTCAAACTGGCAAAGGATAACTGTAAGGTACTAGTCAAACGAGCACTGAACACTAGCTTCGTTAATACTGACAAGGGGAAGTCAGAGTTAAGAAATGAGGGCACTAGTAGAAAGTTAAATTTAACATTTGATTCTGTTCTTAAAAATGTAATAAAAACTTAAGGTTGGTTTCTCCTAAAAAATGAAGACATACCTCATAAGGTGTCTTTACAAAAGTCTAAAAATTTACAAACCAAAATACAATTTTGAATATTTTATTTAGCACTGGCATAATTGTTAGAGGCTGCATTGATACCAGCTTCTAAAGATGAGCAACTCAATTAGCATCAATAGTTTGGTTGATTTGGTAATTAACATAGTACTAAGTTCCTGCAGAACATTCTGTATCAAAGTTATTATATAGCATTCTCAGTTTGACCACCTCTGGCAAATGTTTTAATCTTTTAACCATCACCTCCAATCATCCAAAGAACTTCTCACTCTGCTCCTCTTCTGAACTCAAACCAGGACCCATATTTAACAATGACCTCATTATCTCTCTAAATGTACTTTTATAGTCTGTTCTTTCTTCCTGGCACATCCACTCCAGTCTGATCCTTGAAACTATGGCATAGTACACTGAATTCCAAACACATCAAGAGAGAATAGGAGCTGACTTAATATCCTCTTCTGAAAATGTGAACTACATAAACATACTCAAGCTCATCTTCAATGACCTTGGCACACACTTAACTAGATTAAAATCTTTTGATATCATCTGTCAAATAGCTATGTTCAAAGTTAAGTGAAACCCAATTACTATTATGCACAGCTCAAATTTGAAGGGAAGGAGGGGGAATGGAAACCAATGGAATAGAAGGTAAAAAAAAAATTAAGAAAAAGGAAGACAAAACAGTAAAAAGAAAAGAAAGGGAAGAATGTATCACTGAAAGGAGGTCAGAGCAAATGAATCAAAGAAAGCTCAATTACAAATCTTCATGAGGCAGTGATAAGACTGTGGAGGTAAAAGCAGGAAATAAGAAAGGGAAAACATGAAACAAGAAACATGATAAACTAAACAACTATACAATATAAATACACGAAATGGTCAAAGCAGCAGCAGTAGCTTTATGCAAACAAGAAAACATTCTCTTGATTATAAGGGGAAAGATTTAAGAAAGGGAAGCTTGAGAAAAATCATATTTGGTTTTGCTTGACACACTTAACTCAGCATTCTTTTACAGACAGCTTTTGTAAGTAACAAGCTGTGGAATGGTTACATATGACTTAAGTTTTACATTTTGGATTTTTATTTCTTGATCTCACCCCTCCCTTATATCTTACACCTTTTTATAAGGAGATTTGGGTAGTTATAGATTCAAACAATGCCCGTTTTCTATTATATTTTTTTAAAAAATAAGTCAATTAAAATGCTAAGTTGTTTAACAATTTTTTTTTTATCAACAACATCTTACCTTTATTATTGTAGACATCTAAGTAATTAGGTGCCGAAAAAATTGTTATTAATGAAGGGAACCCTGTAGTTTGACTTTTTCTGTACATTCTATAGCTGCAAAACAAATAGCTTAATATGCATCGTAAAGCATCAATCATTGTTACTAAGTTTGATTTGTACATAAGGTGTTAATTTGGGTCAGGGAAACAGAATTCTTACCCTGCATCTTGAGCTTCATGAGCTCTAATAATCGATAACAAATTATTGTTTTGCAAAAATTCACATACTGCTGGATAGCTGTGGGGGGAAAAGAGTAAATTAAGTAAAATAATAGTTTTCTATGTGAAGCATATTCTATTTTAACAACTAAAATTTGATTAAGCGTGGATATTTTTCCTTACTTATAAAAATAAGAACATCCTCGAACTGTATTGTGACTAAAATGTTCCTGTGATTTTTCATTTCCAAAATCTTCAGAAGGATCAGACCATAACAAGTCACACATTGGTCCAAATGCAGGTGGCTCTTTGAATCTATCTAACTGTGGAAGAAAGAAAAGAAAGCAACAAACAGAAATAACTTGTCAAAAAGTGAGAATAGAATAGACATAGGAAAGTGATACCAACTTTGAATACTGTCCATACCACATTGTTTTGAATCGTTAGAAGGTATTTCCTTAAAATATCAGTATACTATTTTTTATCATACCTAATATTAGCAGTGAAGAGAAGTTTGAAGCATCTACTTTCTATCCAACAAAGTACTAAAGATAGGAGTCAACCTTGGAATTATATTATGTACTTACTCTCCTAATATCATCCAGTGTGTGGATTTCTGGTGAGAGTCCACCATGAACACAAAGAAATTGTTGGTTTAGAAGTGCAGCAAGAGGCAGGCTATCAAAAGCTTCCATACAAGCTTCATAGACTCTTTCTGAATATTTAATTTTACCTAGAAAAAGAAAAAATTAAATTAAAAATTATATTACTAGTCGATCATTTTGAAAACATATGTACTTGACTATTAACACAAAGGCAAGGAAACTAAAGACAGAAAATAGCCAAGTGGGGGCCAGAGGTTGAGAACACGTGAAGGGGTGACTATAAAAGGCAGCAAGAGGAATTTATAAAATGATATCATGACTGTGATGATGAGCAAAATCTCAGAATTAAACACAATAAAGAGTGAAGCAAGCATCTTGCTCTATAAAAATCAACAAAGATAATCAATGTTATCGGTCTTATACAAAATATTTGCTCTTCTAAATTTATTTTGGGTATGCAGAAGTCATAAAATATTACTAAAAATAAGTTAAATCTCTAAAAATAGCTCAACCCTTCACCTTTTAGGCCAAGTAAAGCAAAAGTAGAACTATACTTAAAGCTAAAACAGTTTTAATATTTTATTTTATTCTAAGTGTCAGTGACTACTTTGTTGTTTTAAGCAAGACTACTATATTGTCATTACAAAACTCAAGGTCAATCCAATTAAAAAATAAATAAAAGAAATATCTTTTTCACATGTTGAAGAAACAGAGGGGTTCAAGTCCATAACCAATGCTTAAAATGGGCAGTGAAGCTGAAAGTCAATATAACACAAGACAAAACTA